ACGAAGCCCCATCCGACATTTTTGCAAAGGAAATTGTTGTTCAGAATCGTCTCAGCTACCCCCCATTTCCGGCTCCTCCCCGACTTTTGGAACACCTTGTATTTACAGGACCACATCTTTTTGTATAAATATTTACATTATATTGTTAAATCGAAATGCACATCTCTTTTCGCCTAGATTGAATCTTGTCGCCATTCTAGATAAAAAAAAGTATTAGCGTAAAATGATAAACGAATAATTAGTTCGCCGTATATTTTATATAATCGTCATTAATGAAGAAGATGCTCAAACGTTTCATGACAAAGTTGTAAATACTTCACATACCGATAAGACTGCAATGAGCAACAATAACTAGAGATCACCTTGATCATGTAATAAAAATAATTAATAAGCGGCGTATAAAATGTGTTGAATGTAACAGAGATGTATTTGAATATCTTCTCCAAATGTAAATAGTAGGTACTAATTGAATCATTCGATTTCTTTCCCTTTGACATTTTTCTCTAAAGGCATTGATGACGAAGTTATGACTCGTCACACTTATTTGGTACACCCTGTATATGAATGTGGAATATTGTACATTTCCCATATAGTGGTAAACACAAAGTACAACACGAGTGCGAAGTACAACGAAACCATTAAAAAATAAACAATATTTAAACGTTCTTCTTAAACTCTGGGGTCGCTTAGCGAAATCTTGGAGTCGCGAGATTTTAATGTGAAATATTTCATATTCTCTTGTATTTATGTTATTGCAAAAAATGCAGTTTTGATGAAAAATAGGGTATATAATTTTACTAACTATAACAAATACAATTTTACTACTTTTTGTGCAATTTTTAATTTGATATTTTTTTACGTTTTTAAACAACCTCTAGAACTATATTTTTTTTATACGTATATATATGTATTGTTACATAATCAATAAATCATCTCAAAATATTTACCACCCAACAATGTACACCATAACGACTGAACCAAAGTTTATAATTTATACCAGCCGCTAATAACCTCTATTGTTGACTTTAAATAAACATATTTAAACGTTTGCATGAAACCTAAGCTAATCTTTCGCTTAGTAATTTCTTTCCTTGATTTTTAAAGACACCCTTGACAAAATAATCATCCGGAGTACCACGCTGTAAAATCCTTCTCTGTAATACGCGACAATCGAGGGGATCAATGTGTCCCGTGTTCCAAGATCTCTGGAATTAGTGACAACCTTCGCTCGGTGTCTGTAACTGTGCATTCGATGCGCGCGTTCTACATTCTGCTCATAACACTTCCACCCGGCATCGTCATCGTTTATAATTCCACTTAATCGTCCTGCTGTCTGCAGTCGCGATCCTGTCACGGATAATGGAAGACACCGGGTGTAGCACGATCGATTAATAATCGACGTCGAAAGAAGCCGCGAATCTCTCTGCAGGACCACGTAGAACACCATCGGTGTCTAATTACGTTCGTCATCGAGAGGGTTATTAGGTAGCGGCAGGTGTAATTACCCAGACAGAGTTCGAATATCTATTAACGGAGGACGCGTCTATCGCGGACAAAAGCGTAAGAACGTCAAAGACGGATAACGGAATGGCGGGAGCCTGCTTGGGCAATGATTCATACGCCCCTCTGGTACAGTTATGTGTGTTTCTACGGAAAATAAGAAGCGAGAAATGAGCCATGTACAGCGAGAGATGTCGTATCCATGAGTTTCACCTAGATTCCAAATGATTATCCGATTATTGGTCAAACAGCTACAGTGGGTGTAGAAAGTATTAGTACGTCGATCAGTTTCCAAAAAAAACTATGTGAAATTGTAATTCATTAACTTTTTTTTTTTATAAAAAATGATATTCTACATATTCTTGGAAATCTCTAGAATAGATACAGTACGAAAAGATTAGGTATTTTGTATAAGTGAGAAATAAAACATGAAAAAACAATAAGTCCATAGAAATACAGAAGCAATAAGTATTCGTGCAAGTGTTAAATTTTTAAAATTTCATTTAGAAAAAAAACGAAATGTACATTAATTTATAAATAATTAATACTTCGTGGGATTTCCTTTTGATTTTATAATTACTGCGACTCTTCTAGGCATTCAATTAACTATCATAAATGTCGATGTTATTCGGGGTAGGATCTTCTTTCATTCCTTTATTAGAGCATTTTTAAAATTTTTTTTACTGGAAATTTAATGTTTTCTAATTCCCACG